GGCCCAAGAATTTTATTCTTTTCTGGAAGAATGAACACTTGGAAGGTTTCAGTTTCAAACCAGCTTGTAACAACCTCTGGAAAACATGTTCTAACTTCTGAAGGCACTGGGGAACACTGTTTCCAGGAACGATCACATCATCCATGTCATTCAACCCATTGCAGGCCAACAAAGACATTTTCCATCAATCTTTGAAATGTTGATGGAGCATTTACGAGACCAAAGGGCATTACTGTAAACTGATACAGACCAATGCTGGTGGCAAACGCAGTCTTGGGTTTATCACTTTCTTCAACACCCAGTTGCCAGAAACCAGAGTTCAGATCCATGCAATTGAACCATGTTGAACCGGCCAGTGCATCAAGACACTCATCTGTCCTTGGTAAAGGATATGCATCTTTTAACGTGACTTCATTCAGACGCCTGTAGTCAATGCAAAATCTCCAGCTGTCATCAGCCTTCCTCACTAACACTATAGGGCTTGCCCAAGGACTGTTTGAAGGTTCAATGACTCCACGTTCCAACATCTTGTGAACTTCAACTTTTTCAGCTTCCCTCTTGCCAAATGGTAACCGCCTCGGAGGCTGCTTGACGGGCCTAGCATTGCCTGTGTCAATATGGTGTTCAACCAGACCGGTCCGCCCGAGGTCATCAGGAGACTTTGAGAAGACATCTTGGTACTTGATAAGTAACCGTGATAAGGAATCTGATTCTGTGGGAGAAAGGTGTATAGAGCTTCTTTCCCACAATTCCTTCAAGTGATCAGGAACAGTAGATGGATACTGTTGCTGAATTTCATCAACAAATGGAGTAATAGGTGCACTTGAGGTAGGTTCCTTTGTCTCTGGCAGTACAGCCTCACATACTCCTAAGTTCATTTTTGGGTGTAGGATGACCTCCTTCTCCCCCATGTTAACTACATTAACAGCAATACTGGAAGCTTTTGTATCAATAATACCCCTGGTTAAACATATGCTTTGTTTTTCATACAGGTCCTCGGATGCCTCGATGATGCCATTTTTAGCCATGTGTAGGCCATGAGGAAGTACAACGGGAACCAATGACCCAGAGTGAGGCGGAAGTGTGACCGCCTCTTTAACTTGTACCCTACAAGAGAGTATAGCTTCCCCTCCAGCTCCACAGACCAGTTGTGAACCTTGGTTTGTTTTAAGCGTCATGTTCTTGTAGTCAATGCTACTGATGTGTTTGGTAAGAAAGTCTTGACCAATGATCCCTTCAGGAGTTATGTCACACACCAAAACCTCATGAAGATAGGTCGTATCCCCTAAGTCAATAGGAACAAGTGCTCTCCCAGAAACATCTAGTGTAGAACCATTGACACCCTGGATATCTGACGTCCATGGTGTTAGTTCTGGCTTACAAGCCAGTGTATAATACTTTGCTTTAGACAAAATAGTCACTGTGGAACCAGAATCAACAAGAAACCTCACCTCCACTGTGTCTAAGATGCCAGTTACATAGAAACCATTATCATGTTTGTGGATAGGTTCGCTAACCTGTCCTATTCTAGGAATGGCTTTGTTACTAAGCCTTAGTTCCCCTGTCAAGGTTCGGCCCTCTACCTTGACAGATTGAAGTTTCCCTGTCCCTTAGAGTTTGCCTGCCTTTGACTCTGTTGTGGAGCCTGGATCCCAGAGTTAGGTGGCATCATAGGCATCTGAGGCATAGTTTGTGTCCTTGGCGTTTGGGCATACATTAACTGAGATTGCCTAAAGCTCTGGCACATCTGATTGTAAATGGGACAGTTCCGGAGCAGATGCCCATTTTCGTTGCAGACAAGGCAACGCCGTGCAGGTCTCTGAGCCTCAGCGGTGTAATTTCTAGCAGCCGGTGTAGGTACAGTGTGTTGTTCTCTATTGGACCTGGCTGACTCATACTCCTTGTGTTCAAGCCTGGATATACTAGAGGCAATGTCCTTGAGATACATCTCAAGACCATGGGATTGACCTTTATCAGCTGGTGATTCAGCTGATGCTGGACTAATGTAACGCACAGATGGCTTCTTTTTCTCCCTCGTGTCATCCATAATAACCTCATAGCGTTCAATGACATCAACAGCTTCAGAGACAGAGCGACAGTCACGGTCCATGCATCTACATTTCATCTCAAGAGGTATTGCCTTATATAGTTGGTTTAGAGCTAGGGCTTCCTGAGCCCTTGCACCAAGATTAGAGTAAGCACGTTGTGCCATTTGTCTCAAATCATCTCCCAAAGTAGCAATTGACTCATTAGGTCGTCTTTGCCTCATCTCTAACCGGGAGAGCCAACGACTTTGTTGACGTGAACTACCAAACCTATCACCAATTTTCCTAACTAGGTAAGTATAGTTCCTCCTCTCATCTGGAGACAGACCTATGTAGAAGGTACGTGCTGGACCCCTTAAACTAGCTGCAAGGGCCAAAACCTTGTCCTGGTCTTCCCACCTACCAAGCTCAGCACATGCCTCAAAGTGACACAAGTATTCCTCCCAATCACCATGACCATCGTATGAGTCAGGATGAAAGTTCAGACCTGCCTTTGGTTTAATGTGTTGCGTGTTTGCTTTAGTGATAGGTCTTAGCCGTGGGTGATTGGGTCTAGGGAGAAGTAAGTAATCGTCAGGAACATCTACATGGGGTAACTCAGACGAGTCTGGCATCAGTCCCTCAACTGGGGGAGCAAACATTTGTCCATGGCTATGAACGTAAGTTGTACCATCAGCTATTATGTTATTGTTCCTATGTCCTCTCCTTGGAGATGAATTGGGACACCCAAGAAGCACATCACCCTCGGAGCGAAAATGTTGTGCCCCAGGATGTGGAGTTCCCTGCCTCATAGGTATCCTATCATTAGATACAGATCTAAGACTTGAGTCATGGCTGACACTGGAGATTTGGGACATCTGGTCATCATCTACACTAAGAGATTCCCCCACAGCATCCATAGTTTTGAATAGGACATCTGGGTCTGGTGACTCTGACATCGTCTCAGGAATCGACCAACCCGTGGATTCGGACCACTGGATACTAATTAAGAAAATTAGTATCCCACTTCTGACACCAAAATTGTAACACCCTTAGGGTGCTAGTGAAAACACAAATAACACAAGCAAAGATGAAGTTTAGCAGTCCAAGTTTGTAATGGCGTTTACAAACTTTATGTTTAATTTTGGTTTTAAATGTCAACAATGTGGACACAAATTATTAACAATGTGATGGAAAATGATGCCAATAAATACCCCCAGTTTTGATCAGCTACTATTAAGTCTATCAGATTTTATTAACAGGGCTCAGTCTCCAAAGAAGTAATAATATTAAGTTATATTAGCTTAATTGTTTTGAGAAAATGTTATTATAAGTAATAAAATGTCAAGAGATTTCTTCTAAATTTGGCCTAAAAATGTATCAAAAGGTGTACCTAGTGGTAGTGAATGATAAGTGGAGGTGTGTCAGACCTTGACCCGTGATCGTATTTATAGGCATCATTAACAGGTCATGTGACCTTTCTTAGCCAATCAGAACACAAGTTGGATGGCTTTCATATCACAAGCATGGCATAGGTAATGTCATTTCCAACACAAGTAAGTGATTACAAAATGTCCTTGTTTTGTCCTATTTGTCCGAATACAATTAGGACACAGTAGAAATAATCAGGACATGGAGACAATTTGTTATAATTAAATGGACAATATCTTTATGCCAACGTAGCGTCAGTGGCCGCCATCTTGGTTGGTGGTCATCTCCGTTACAAGTGAAATTTACAAAACCATCAGTTTCTTTTATCAATTGGTATTGTCCTTATACTGTACAAAGTGTCCGAATAGATCGAACATGTTGAACAAACAGAATTTGTGCTAATATCTGATACAATGATATTTAGGACAAGGATAGGTTCAGACCAAGCGACTGGGAGGACAGTTTGACAGACGTCAAACGTACGCTAAGACCATTGACAATATAGGCCTATAGGAGAAAATATGCCCTCATTCCAAGTATTGATGTAGTCCTATATGTCCTTTAATAATTTGGACAGTAACACGATTCATTAAAATACTCGGCAATTATTAACAGAGAAACGGACAACAGATTGTCAATATTGCCTAGAACTGTCAGCAATGAAATGTCATAACACAGAACGACTGTCATATTGCAGGTACAAATGCAAGGAATATGGGAACGTATATGTTGTCCTCTATGTGTCTGAATATTGCAAATCTAGATTAGACTGCAGGAAAATACTTTATCATGAATCTATGACTTTGGTGTGAAAACGGACATCCAAGTTATAAACAGTCACTATGCCAAGCGTAAACATAATTGACAGGTCACCGTAACCTCAGAAATGTCAAACAGATCAAATTAGTTATTCAGTGAGATCAAGTGTAATTATCATTAATATCCAAAGTGAAATATACTTTGAAACATTTTAGAGCAAGAAAGTTATTGGAAAATCTTCAATAACCAGTGTATTAGGTCATTGTTTATCTAGATCAAATGTCAACTTACTGTCTAAAAATAGCCACGATGCAAGAGTGTATACAAGAAATAGTCCCTGACAAACACTGTTCTTATCACTCAAAATACATCATGAATCCAAACAGTGAACAAACATGGTAACATGGAATGCATCAACCTGTACAATAATAGTGCATAATGATAACAGTAGATATATTATTCATGGATGTAAATAGCGTAGTGACACACAGTGGTAATCAGGTCATGCCTGACAAGTGCTGCTCGCGCGAACGTTCAGTGATAGATAAACATAGCTATCAACAGTGAACATGACCCACAAAGTTGATTCAGATAGATGAAGTTCATTTCCAGGTAATTATCTATGATACTATAATCTTATTATTTGCTTTAATATGAAAATTGTGAATGGACATTTGCAGATAGATCGTGTTATAACGAAGATAGGTGACACTTACGATAGACAAGGTTTACTAAATGTACTCTGATTACAATTTCTGTTTATTTTGGACTTCTATAACAATAATGAAGTGTTATATCAAGTAGTGCAAAGACTTGATAAATCAAGAATCTCAAGAATCCCCAAAACAAGCTAATGTTGGTTTTACGTATACCAAGAACTACTGTATCATACATCCACATCCACAAAGTGTATGTTGCGGCAAAAGGTGATTCTGCATGAAAGTTAATATATGTTCTTGGAGTGTTTTTCGTTTAGAGCGACTTCAATAACACAGACCAGACACAGTATTGAATCCACGGAACTATAAGATTACATACTGTAAAGATAATCTTAAGTTCCTCAAGTTATGAATAGCAAGGGCATTTGCTGTTTCCTGAAAAAAAAAGTTCCATGTACAGTACTAAATCCGCCTGATAAACACGATGGAGGGTGTGCACATAGTTAATACTTCATGACTGAATCCATATCATACGTATGGTTCTCCATAGACGTATGTATTTTCACTCAATCCATTTGTCAGTAATTGGTCTACAAATTATGTATGGACCCAATAGTTGTATTGTCTACCAGATGTGCGGGGATACAATATAATATGGCTGTTATCATGTAAGTTGCACTGTCTACCGGTTGTTGATTCTGTTTCGGGCTTTTCTTCCTCTACACTTGTCACAGAGGAAGAGGAGGATGAACACCAGTAGCTCCGTGATCTCCATGACTGTCAAGATGCTGGCTCCGAGGCACAGACCCGTCTGACCCCCAATATTGGCTGTAAAACAACACCCACATCAATAACAAAAACGAAACAAGGTAACAATTCAAACATATTTCCGTCAAATACAACTATTTTAATTTGTGGAAAAGGTTCCAAGCTGTAGAGGTCTACAAACACAGATATGGCTACTGATCCTGCTTGGCTAGGACTAGTGCCCTCGCAATATTGTTTCGCAATTTATTTCTGCAAGGTTGCCCAAACTTGTAAAATGCCTTCGCTACGCCACAGTTAGACACTGGTTTTCAGTATATTAGACTATTCTTTTGATAATGATATCAATTATTCCAGTAGTTTCTCCAGACGCCTGATGGTTAATTCTGACTCGATCCCTGAATTACTCCATGTTTGTTTGTTAACAGTAAAAGTAGTCCCTACTTAACCTTGCGACACTTCATGCCACATTGTCACACGTTCAAGGCAGAATGATATAGAGTTCCTTAGGCAATTGAAAAATACCACTAGGGTACAATAAACACTCACAAAACAGCGAGGCCACCGTATATTGAGGTTGTTGTGTGATGGATGTCACCATCATCTGGTCGTAAAACACTCTCAGCTCCAGTAAGTTGTCTCTGAATAATAAACAACATCAAATACTTATATATCTGGGAGTTAGGCCATCGATTACTTTGAAAACCCATGATCATGGGCATGGCATTGACAGATTAAGGATCATAATCGAGAAAAAACTGGGATTCAAACCCGCTATCGTGGCGCCAAGAAGTTACATCTTTGCTTAGACAGTTCTGGCACATTCCTTGTCCAAAAACTTGTATCATTGTCGAAAGTAAATTTTCATATGGTACGTTTGTTCGTTTATGTGACGCCACACTCAACAATATTCCGGCAAAACGACGGTGGCCTGTGAATATTGTAGTCTGGACTAGACAAACCAATATTTGACATCATAATCATCGATCTACACACTTGGGATACGATAATGTGCATCAACCAAGTCATCCGATCCCGTTAGTCACCTTTTACGACAAGCAGGGGATGCTGAAGACCTATTCTACCCTGGATCTTCACTGTGCTCAGACAGAAGCCGTTTGTTGCTGGTTATTCAATGAGGAAAACCATTGAGTAAGAACGTTCCACTGTACTTTACTGGCCTTATAATAACAAATTAAGGCATTAATGTTAAGATAGGATTAATGTGTTTCAAATTTGCAGCTGTTATTGCGTATTCGATGTCCAGAATGTTAGTTTTGGGCGAAATTGATTAAAATTGAAACACTGGATAGAAGATTTATTGTGAGTATTTTAATGTAATAGCGTTCGGAACATCAATGGCGAGAAACATTACAACCACGGTTGTTTGTGTTTAGGAAAATAAAGGCTATACTGTACAGAAGTCTTACTGCAAGCTCTCCTCAGTCTGAGCCTGCGTGGAGTTGAGGAAGGTGTTGTCCCAGATGTTGGCTGGGAAGGAGCTGGAGGACACCTGGGCAGTGTATCTGTCAAACATGCACTCGCTGGCACACCTGCAACTCTTCACGAAGTTACCGTCTTTGGACACTGATCCTTGTAAAGTAAAATAGCATTTATCAATGTATTATACCCTGTAACACGTTTCGGTTATTTCCAAACCAACAACTTGGCTTGCCCTTGATTGTCGGTTCCATTACAGGTACGGGAGTTGATAAAGAAAGATTTGCGAAATAGGGAAACCTTCTAATGTGGACATCACAAGATGGCATGGAGGTATACCAACAAAAAGTCAGTTGGGCGACTGTGTTGCTGTGACAAGTCAGTAAAATAAGCAGTGGACTGTGACCCTTTGGAAAATGGACAAACTTGAGAAATGTAAAGAGATTACTTGCAGAAAAAGGTCTTAATACCAAAAGCCAAAAACAAAAAACAATCCGATACAAACACAACACTAGGGAAGGATACCCCTTCTCATGTCACTACAATGAGATGGAGAGTAGATTTGAAACGTGAAAGGGAGAAGCTTCAAGACGATCCCCGTCCTGTAATGCTTGTGACTCCAGTCAATGCCAGTTAATACAACCAAATTGTGGTTCTACGAAAATGTAGAAATAGCCAGTATACTCACTAACAAAGGGCCTGTAACAACTTTCCAGTTTCACCAACGAGCACCTAGGACCATCCCCTACAATGAAAATCAAAACATACTACTAGTAAAGTTCAATGCACAGTGTGCAAAGAGCTTTTTCCTAAGTTGTTGGTTTTGGGAGATGTTTATGTGTTGGGGTGTATGGGATGTGACGAATGGGTAGATGTATGTATGTGTGGTGTGTGTGTTTGCGTGTGAGTGTGTGTGTGTGTGTGTGTGTGAGCATGTCGTAAATCTACCATTGTCATGGTCTAATGACCGAACCTCCCTCCCTCGCTTTATTTCCGACACCGCTCGGCAAAGTCCGGCGCGCAGTTTCTCGCGGAGTATGTATGGTACTGTCGGGATCTTGTATCGTTACCCCCATGTTTCCTCAGATCGTTTACGATTGTCTCGCTACTAGGTGGTCACGTGTAACTTTGGAAGTGATTGGGGGGCACCTTTGATCTAGTACTGCCTTACTCTGGTTGTATTGAGCTAATCGTAGTAAATAGGGTTTCCAATACTCGGTTTTCTATTAATCCGTTGATAAACATTCATGATTGTCTAGCTTTTGTGGAATTTTAGTATTTCCTTTAGTCGATTGGACTAGTTTAGTATTCTGACATTCTCGTCTAATTTATTGTCCTAGTGACTTATTTTAGGGATGGGCCCTCTGCGTTTATTTCCTGTTATTTACTCATTAGAGTGTTGAGTTAATTAACTCCAGTGGTAATTGATCACAGTCGACTTAATTGGCTGTCTACGCATCTTGTCTGTATCTTGTCAAAATTCTCTATAGTATTCTCTATTTATGACACATATTGTTTTCACAAATCACTCTCTTAATGAAGTGAATTTTAAAAATCATCATGCCAAGATGCAATAATACTCATAGCCAGTGAATCACAAGCATTGGTGGCAGGGCATTTCACAACTAAGATCAGGAAGACCCCACGTCACCATGTGCAGCAGAATCCGCGCAAGAAGGCTCTATATTGACGATATTTGACCTCAGATTAATCAAATTAATTCAGTAGCTGCAGTGGTGTCGATTACATTATCAATGGAGGCTTCCATACTTTGGCATAATGTTCGGTTTGATGACGAATCCTGTTCCCTTCTTCAAAGAGAAATGGGAGGAGCTCTTCAGGACGAATGGGTTGCCATTCCATAAGGTATCGCCCGCAGGCTTCCTGGTTCCACGGTGGGAGGAGTCGTGCAGTAATTTAGGCCAGTTGTGGACAAACATGGTACTAAGCTTTACAACTGCTGTTGACACAGCTACGTTACCGACACATGCACACCCTTCTCCGTTTACGTTTGATGTTTTATATGTAATCTTTCAAACACACACACACATGTCCGCGTATCGCCTTTAAGTCATGTAGATGTCACAGAATGAATCCCTTGAAAATCACATATTCGTTTCTTTTTGGGGTGACAGTAAATAGGTAGAATCCACAGTGTACACTAGAGTACAATTAATTTACGTGACTTTTTGACCAGGTAGTTGCAATTATGATAATGATGATATTTGTTATGGTGGTGATGATGTCAATGTTGGTGCGAGAATTGGAATGCCATATGGCTTGGGAAGTATCTTTATGAACACAATGTCTCATTAACACCATTGCTGACTGTTTTCTTATACAGTATTATTTCAAACGGTTCTTGTACCATTTCTGTCTCTAGGTATCAATCCTATAACATAAAACTAAATGACTGCAGCATCCCATTCAATATGAATTACGCCTTCTTTCAACACGTTTCTAAAATGAGTCAAAAACTTACGTGGGTCAGAAGGTCCGATACATTCACATTTGTTGAAGGCCTTCGTCTGGACACACTCTATGAAGCAATGTCTGTAGGTGTAGGTTGAGAAGTACTTGAGGGGGCTGACAAACTCGGGACTGTTTGTGTCCACACATTTAATATCATCAAATGCCGTGTAGGGATTGGGCTGGTACAAATACTACAAACAAAGCCACAAGTTTGTTTGAAATCACCGACTTACAAGGTGGGGTCAAATGCATCTATGTCAAGGGTCAGAAGAATGTTAATTTGTGTGTGTTGACAATGTATCAGTAAGATAAAACAAAACCGTTTCAAAATAAAGACATAAATAAATTTCATAGATATTGATCATGTGATTTTATCAATGAAACCAATAACCACTTGAGATAATTGATATAGGCATAAAGGTTAATTCATCACAAGCCTTTCTTCGAACGTCTCTCTTAGGAAATTTGCTCAGGATCTTCTGGAGATTAAGATACGAACGATTTTTATTATTGTAGCATATGACTCTAATGTTTGGTCATTTATCAAACTTTGTACAGAAGTCCTTGAAAATCGTTTGGAGCATTGCGATAAAACAATAGCATCCTGAGACGAGCTACTATACATCGTTAATTGGAACTGACAATATATACATTACATGTGTAAAACAAGTAAAGCACGCAGTAGACTGGTCATGAATGTAATGTAAGTGTGAATAAAGCTCGGTAACCGAGGAAGAGATATTCAAAAGTATCTCACTGTGGCCATTCTTCATTGGAGCTGTCAACTTTTTCTTGGGCATAACAAAGATGGGTCTTTGATGAAAGGCTGCTATTCAGAACATATCACTTTGCATTCATAGTAGTTATTCAGAAGTACCAACCTGAGTTTTTTGCAAGGCAACATATGTAGAGAACCCGGGAGCGGCCATCACGACAGTGGTGCTTGCGTCTGGGTGTAGACGTGGATTATGGAGTGAAACCTGCATATACAGCCAGGACTTTCTTACTGTGTCCACACACCCAAAATACATCACAGGGTATTCATACACGTATCTCTATCACATGACAACAGACAAATTCATACCAAACTAAAGGGTTTGCAGGGTGTGCGTTTTATTTGGCCCCTGTCTAACGAGACAGATATAGGGCTGGAACCAGTTTATGGATGAGCACTTCCTGTCCTACCAGAAGCGCCCTCCCTAAATAAAGGTCGAGGGTATTACAGAGTTGAACCGAAACAATTTAGAAACGTGTGGTTGCATTGCACAATCTATTAAAGTACTAACTTCACTACATGCACAAACGTTGGTTTATTTGTTGTTTAACGCACCCAGCAATATTCCAGCTATATGAAGGCGGTCTGTAAATTATGAGTCTGGAACAGACAATCCAGGGATTGACACAAAGAGCATCGATCTACGCAACTGGGATACGGTGACATGTATCAGCCAAGCACCACCCGATCCTGTTAGACGCCTTTTACGGACAAGCATGGGTTGCTGTAGACCTATTCTACCCCGGATCTTCTCGAGTAGCAAATAATAATATACTCCCCAGTATGTACAATTTTGCAGATAAGAAGACATACATAATGTTATGTGTGTAAACGTAGATTCACTCAGTTCTAATGCAGTGTATAAGGGGGGTGTAAACCATGACAGTTTATTCAATGTGAAATGTATCACCTTGTGTTCATACTGAAGGATATCTTAGATATTTACTTGTCAGTTTGGCACATATTCAAAGGGCGTAAATCTAAACTTGGTCACTTTGAGAAGACGTGATCTACCTTAATCCCCGCGGCCATGTTGCCCATGAATGTGTAGTCGTTCTGACTGATGTTTAAAATGATGACGAGGTTCGCATCCTGACCTGCCGTCCTAACTTCGACAATATCACTGGCATTGTAGTTGAAGGTATGGCAAAATCCTTCAGTAGTGAACACGGGTCGGAACTTGGTCATGCAATCAAAGACTTCACCACCAAAGGCGCATTGATACAGCATCCTGGATCCTTCCATAGACATATTCTTCCACCATTCTAAAGACAACGGTTCCTGAAACACCTCTGAAGTTGGTGCAGAAAATGAGATATTTTGTATCCGTCCAAGAGAAACATTGAACAAATAGTCCTCCATTTCTGGGTAAACGCCAAGACGAGTGTTGTTGAGAGTGCATCTGTTGCAAATGGTGACGGCAGGGAACTCGATGGAGCTCTGGATTTTGGGAGTGACCTTGGTGACGGTTGGGTAGCTGTAGTAGTTTCCTATCTCCCCCACAAGGTTATAGATGAGGAACGCAAAACTTGAACACAGAGCAAGCATCCACAGCAATCTGTCCATGGAAGATGACGAGAGTGAGTATTGTTAAGTTGTTTGGGGTATGGCCTGTGTATGCCACAGAGCCTTTCATAGTGTAATTCGATTTATAGTAGATGCACCAATGATCGACCTGCGGATTTTGCAGTTTCAAAGTAGTATCCCTACCTTGTAATATATAATACGTGAAAAATAAAATGCGAAATGGCGACTGGTTGATTGTCATTCCAAATGAAATAATCTTGGGTAACGTTGGCCTTTCTCCAACATATAGAATCCAAGCAATTTTAAAACACAAAGGTTTTCGTAACTTCCATTTTTTGTCAAAGAACTGCAATAGCCGTAACTCATTCATCGATTCGTATACGTGGGCCTATGTGTAGAAATCAGAACATGGATTCTAGTGATAAGATGATTAAGTCCCAATCCAAAAGAGAGTCGTTCACTTGGACGGAATAGGCAATTGGAATAGACCTTTGTGCCAAGAGATGAGAAAATATTACACAAAATCCAGAAAACGTTTCAAGAAAATGGAAGTTTAAAAAATACACAAATCACACAAATACACATACACAAGTCTTCTCAAAAGTATATAAAGGAGTCATAACATATAAATTACATACTTAAAAGGACAGTTCGTCGATGGTTCTGTGTGTGTTTTGCTGATCATGCACATTTAATTCTTGAACAAACACAATAGGACATCACACGACGAAGTTGACAACTTAAGCGATGTGCAGAGTAGACTGGCTTGTCATGTTTGTTAAATGTATTTGAGGCAAATTGGAGAGAAGACTCGCGTGTCTTTCCTATGGATGAGTTACAAAATACGAATTGCTAGATATGTTAGATAGGAAGCCATTGTCAATCAAAGTCCAGATTACACACATCGTCAAATCTTACACAGTCCATTCATGTGTTTTTCATCTGTTATATTTTAGATGAGTCAACATATTCAGGTAAACAACGTTCAAGGAGAAAATATCCTAAAACATAAAAAAACAACTATTTTCATATGCGTACTTATCCTCCACCTGTTGTCATCGAAGCCCTACAGCGAGCTAGCGATTGTTGTATTGTTGTTGTCCTACAAATGTGGTGTGCTCAATGGAGCAGAACATAAGGCGGGCAGATTCGAGTTATCAGCTCTTGTTTACAAATCAAAGCTTCAGAACGGTCGACGGCCTGTCCCCTAAATCACAAATGTAGAAGTGATGCTGAATACTCAACTTAAGATATTTGAAAATAATATACTACAAAGCATATAAAGAGAAAGTTGGAGTATATAAAATCGAAAAATTCTATGAAGGTCCTAAAGACATAAACTCAGAAGAATGACAGCAAAATGAAACAATGTGATGATTTGGAAGAAGGGAACAAAGGTAACATCTTTATGATAATATACATGACGGACGAAATTACACAGGTAATGAAATAATTCAAGCAAAAACAGACGACAGACCTTAATTGTTGTGAAAACGACAATATTATCGATTGTTTGGGAATGTTTGTATTTTGCATTCAACTGGGCCAGCGCCTGGGCAGTGGCTAACTTGATGCTTCGAACCAAGTTGTAGGAAAAATGGAGACAAGTTGCCTCGGGAAGTTCTTTACTTGTACTAAGAGCACGAGACACAATATAACTATCATAACAGGTTGGATTACGTTAGATAACATGCATCTACGCACTAGTAAACTTAAGAAGAAGAAAATAACTCTTTTGTGCTTTAATCGACGTTATGAAAGCATTCGAAAATGTATGGAACTGGAGTAGCGCAACAGATAAATTCTTTACATTGGTACAGAATATGAGTGCTAGCACTTAGTGTTCTAATGAGGACAGTTCGATGTGTTGGATACTGTTTTAACTGATTTAGCTACTGATACTGTTAATTTGGGGACAAGTTATCTTTACTGTATGAAGTGGAAATTCAGTGTATCTAAGAAAACAATTGTATGTGGTAGTGGTAATCTTAAGATTAATAAAGTCTCATTCAAATACGGACATTAAAATATTATCCGAATATTTCTGTTTCCCCGACTCGATTACTACAGGCCACCGTTATATAGATGTGGCGTTACACAAAAAAGAAAAAGGAAAGAAAGAAAGAAACAAACAAACATGTATATGTTAAGAACAACGACACCTACCCACGAATGCTAAACGGGTTGATCGATGGAGGTTTAATCTTGTCAACTGCATGTAGGCCTGTAGATTGACAGAATTCGATCCATAGATCTTTAAATCCGTACTTTGGCGAACGCCGGTCTGCATCAAACTTGACAGTCTCCGTCTTCTTTTCATCCATACTCATTGTTTCTGTAGGCGAAAGTTTATTTCGTGGTGAGGCCCCCATCAAATACAGATATATTCATGATTAATATAGTTACAAGTAGGTTCATTTTACCATACTCAAACAGCTTGAACTTCACTCACAACGCTGGCACCTGATATTATCATTTTCAACTGTTATGCATAAGACTACAAAGAAATGTAATCTGCTATTATTCACTGTTAACAAGATGGTGAAACAATATTTAAAACTGACTTGACTAAACGTGTCGTAATCATTATTATTCACTGTTACTTTTGTCATTACAATATGTCCAAATTTCTTCGTAGTTATCTAACAAAGATGTAATGAATGAAAACATGGTCACTTCAAACGTTCTTCTGAACATATGCTGTATATCATGATCATTCTGCACAATACCATTGCTATCAAGAAAACAGCGTTATCACTATCCCCCCGCCAAGTAAGTGAGTGAGTGAGTTTACACAGCTTTGAACAATAAGCGCAACTGTTTGTGTCACTGAAACGCAAGGGGTTGATGTTGCAACCGCTTGTGTTAACTACTGAACACTAAGGGTTGATGCTGTGCATACATCGTGCATTTTCCCAGGTGAGAGGTGAAACTGGTCTTCAGGGTATTTGGATAAAGCAGATTACAACTCACTTATTCACTTTCCATGTTGAGAAAATTGACAAACATGCCTCGTATTTCTCGTATCACTGCTCAGAATACCCAAAATATAACACTAGTCAGTTGTACTTTTAAAATATGAAAAACATTTATCAAATGTGTGATTATTTTTTTTAAAAAGTGTATAACATTCTTAAAACACAACCATTCATCTTTTCGTAAGTTAGTGCTGTGTCTCAAAAGTTTGTTCACCTTCTCTTGATATTACTATTTTATATCAAATAATAAGAGTCCTATTTAAATAGCCACAATTAGCACAATTTTTTTACAGGATATATCCGCCACCGCCACCGCCGCCGCATTTCTGTTTTCAGAATAACTGGCTATGATTCTGATTATGGCTATGAAATATCATATATGAGACATATAGATCTGAGGAATGCGTTTGACGCATGCCATGATGAGGTCAAGGCCAATATCACTGGAATGGCAATGTGTTCGGTTCTTTTCTCTTTTCTCTTGTTGTCAATATTTAAGAAACGGGCAAACTGGCGTGGTCGGGGGGAACAGGATCTTGTCCATTTTCACAATTGTGTTCTCTTCAACGTTTCCACTCGCCTCAACATTTTTAATGTTACGAACCCTAGCGGTAAACATTATAAGACGCACTCTTACATATCCTTACTTATTTCTTACACATATATCTTCAAGGTTAGGTTTGAAAGATTATTCTTAAGCATTTTGTAACTCGTGGCCGTTGGTGTAATGTTTTCATTTTCATTGTGTGTATGCATTGAATGAACATTTAAGTAATATCACAATTATTAAATCATTAGCTTTGACATGAATAAAGAGCGGAACATGAAAAGTAGGGCAAGGTGACCTTCTATCCAAATGGATGATAGTGGTTTTCTAAGATACATGTACTCACCATGTTTCATCATTCTAGCACAAAAATATAGAAATGTTACTGAAAATCTCCTATACATGTATTTGCCAAGGAGAAAGCCCTCCAGTTACCCTGACTTTGAGTACTCATATAAATGAAACTGACTGAACCGATACCTTTAATTACAGGAAATATATATGCCAAGTATCCAAATAATAACATTAAAAATATGAGGTTTTAAAGATGTTTTTGTAAGGATTATGTAACCCGTAACCCCAGCCAGTTGTCATCCAAAGTCAGGCTGCCCTATATGAAAAGTGTGTACTTGTTCCCACTGACAAGGCCACAAAAACACAACCATTATATGTAAGCATCACTACATCAATTGTTTGATGAAAGAACTTGGTATAAATGACATTAAATAATATCACATATAAGGCCAGTTTGTTAACGCAGGAAGGAATCTGCGGAAACCATAAATCAGTACTGTCAACTTTTGACTTGACTCTAAAACCTGACGACATGTCCATTCCTCTTTTTTACCGGATTCCAAAGTACCATAAAAGTCCGTCCAAAGAGAGATATATTGCTGGGTCCAGCAAATGTAGCACCAAATCCATGTCTCAAAGACTAACCATACTCCTTAATACAATCAAGGAAGAACTGTCTTCATATTCACGTACAGAAAGTATTTTTGACAAGTGGAAGTTTTACCATGTGGATCTTCAAAAACTCAAAACAGAACCAAGCTCCATTCGGTCAAAACAATTTATTTTTTCAACTTTGTTCGTCACTATCTCTCGTGACAAACTTGAGGAAAAGCTCAATTCCTTTGTCAATAAAGGTTTTGTTACAAAACGTGGTGAACACAGAGACAGTTACGTATCTATATTTAGAGGTTCAGGAGAACTTGTGAAAAATGAAAGCAAATGCTATCTGAAGTTTACTGAGAAAACCAATATGTGAAACGCGTGACTTCATTATTGATTACGTAAAATTTGGGTGTAAGACATTAAGGCAAGAAGTTAGCATCCCCAATGGCACCAATTGTGCTCCCCTTCTTGCGGATCTGTTTCTTTATGCATGTGAATCGGAATTTCTGTTCGAATTGGCAAAGTGAAAACAAAGTAATTTGGCCAGGAAGCTTAACTTAAGCTTTGGGTATCTCAATGATCTGATATAGTTCAATAACAATCAAATAGCCAATTTCCTTCCACTGATTTACCCACCTGGGACCCATTCCACAAAGCAATCTTAAAACTACAACTGCCGTAAGTCTATGTTTAAGTATGGGAGTTACGATCCTCTTAGAGCTAAAATCGGTTTGTGGAACGAGGGCCTGAACTAGAAATAAAGGAGACCAGTTAGATAGCCTCATCATTTTTCATATTTAGATCTGTGCATAATGATTCAGAATAACAAAACACTCTCCTAGAAAAAATATGACAAGAGGGATTACTTCAATATTCCAGCAGCTCCAACCTTTGGTGTTTACAATTCACAAATTTTGAGATTCAATCGAGCCTGCTCTTTCTACCAAGATTTCAAAAGCGTCACACGACTCTGGCTCAGAAGTTGTTTGATCAAGGTTGCAACATTCAAGGCCTCAGTAAAGCTATCAAATGTTTTTTAGTAGACATGTTGAGGACATTTCCAAAATTAACGCATCAGTGACAAAAATGACGTCCGATGCAATTCCCTGTTTTGATTTCTACCATATGTTCCCGTTGGGGCAGGATACGCTCACCTTTTCACGAACACCTGGTATCATTACTATTTGGTAGTGGTTTATAAACACATGGTCATGCTATAGTTGGAATCGTACGATCGTCCCTGCTTTATGCAGTGATTGCAATGCAATTGGATATGGAAAGGGTTTTGTTGCTTTATTTGACCTCGAATCCACGGTGTAAATATCAGTGTAATCATCATATGGTAGTTAGTGTTTGTGCAGCGTATGAACATTTAATGAAAATAATGATTAAGCTAGAGCAGTTATCAGTTTGACACACTTACACATCTGGAGCATGTAATGTTGGTCAAGGTGACATTTTCCTCACATTTTTAATTATTATAAATGAACTCAACAAATTTCACCAATTTAGGGCCAAAATATGAGATTTAGAACAAAGTCCCTTAAATACCATACTGAAAGCTGTTTGGCGGCTTTGACCTTGGGCCCTTATTTGTCAAAGACTAATCAATCCTACTGCCCTTGGATACACAACCCACATCCTACACCATCTCCCCCATCCACACCCACTCTCCCACTCACTTGCAGACCCACAAACACTTATCCATAAACCTCACCCAGGATGCCCTCTCTTCCTGCAACGGTTTTGATCTTACATAAACGACAACGTCAACCCTAAGTGAAAACTTTCAAGAAATGAACAGTTGGTTTTTGCAGTTGTTAGTGTCCATAGTTCCACTAAGGTTAGGTGAACACAACGGTTTTGATCTTACATAAACGACAACGTCAACCCTAAGTGAAAACTTTCAAGAAATGAACAGTTGGTTTTTGCAGTTGTTAGTGTCAATAGTTCCACTAAGGTTAGGTGAACACAACGGTTTTGATCTTACATAAACGACAACGTCAACCCTAAGTGAAAACTTTCAAGAAATGAACAGTTGGTTTTTGCAGTTGTTAGTGTCCATAGTTCCACTAAGGTTAGGTGAACACAAAGGGTTGTGACAAGGCCCCTTCTCTGAAATAAATATGTAATGGCACCAATCTTCGAACTCAAGTCGTGATAAGTATGGATTCTCTTAGATCAGCTGTGACTTCAGTAGTTTCTGAGAAAACTGGTCCCCCATTGTGGACACTATGCACTATGAAATAATAAGAAAGCCCAAAACTGTGTAAAAACTAAGTTAACGCATCAATTTTCCGCTCATTCTTGACAAGTATCTCTTTCATAAGCATGTAACTTCAGAAGTCCCCGAGAAGCTTGTACCCATTCACTCAGTATGCACAAAGTGGAACATCATTAAGGGCCATTACTCTGTGAAAATGACTATAAGACACCACTTTTCGAACTCGTTTGAGATCGTGACCAATAACATGAGTGTGTAAAAAATCATTTCTCTAACTTAAATAGTTTTGGAGACAATTCGTCCCCATTGAGGAACGTACGGATGGACGAACTCCGTTCCGATATTCCGCGCCCCAACATAGTGTGTGCCTTCAAGACTAGTATTCTGCTTTAAGTGAATATAATGTAGATGGGTGTAGGTAATAGGACACCTTTATCCTATATTTGTGACATCACACCATGAAAGTTTGTGTGAATTTATAACTAGAATTACTGTGAACAATATATTCATATATATGACAAAGAGACGAAAACCTTACCTTCTGTTTAAAAAGTTCAAAGTTAATGTAAATATAAAACTACAATCTTGTATATAACGTAAAGACCGACAACTTACATTGTATTTGAATGCCACTGCACCGACAAAGTTAACCTAAGCATGGAACTAGGATCTGCTTCTGTTAAAAATATATTGACTTTACCTTTTCTCGGATGTTTTCACTTCCTACTCCGCTAAAGTTCAGTCCGACCTTCAATGCAGGTATGCATGTTACACGGACGCCAGTGTTGTCTGACAGATCTACAGCAGCCGGTCTGTAAATAACTTGTGCTGGATGGACCCTAGAGATTCAAATGCATGTTGCAACCGTCACTGCTGAAGCTGATTACTGATCAACAAATGTTGTGAAAGGACGAGAGACAGTGCCGTTCAATAAATCAATGTTACGAACACAAACACACCCAGCATAAATTTAGAGTGTTGTAATAATAATGAGAAGCGCATACTAGTGGTTACATTTCCCATGCGTAAAGTCAACACTGACAACGTCCATGATTCGTACATAAAAGCTTGGTTCGAGAGGGATTGTAGAAAAATATGTTTGTCATTGGTAGTGAGCTTCCCAAACGACTGTTTGACATTTTTCTTTGTCCATAGCGTGTGACTTTGAATATCAATCAGATGGTAAAGAGATGTTTCAACGATTACACAATCCATACTTGATTCAAAACGTCAATGCCAAAGAATACTGTCAATAGATTTCATGGGGTGTCAAAGGCAAAATAGTGACGAAAATTACATGAAGGACCATTGAAAGTTAGTGACGTGATCAAGCAGAGCCTGCTCTGCTCTACCGGTTCCACCTACCATTCACACAATAGCAATAAAATAGGAAAATGTCATTTGTAAAGGGAGTTACAACTCCATGTGTAGGTCATCGCAAGGCCTAGCATCGTTGCCCACAATGTCTCTGAGTGTTTTACATATCATTTCTGGAAGGACTTCAGCAGGGATTTGACTGAAAAGCTGAGTTGAAAGTAAAATGTGTCTTAGAGAGAGGGTGTCCATTGTTGACTGACTGAATGAATACCGCATGATCCCGCATCAGCAGTTTTGCAGCTATTCACAACGAGAGCCTGGTCATTTAACTTTATCATTTGGACATAAAGAACAATCTAAGAAACGTCGAAGTTCCCATAAAACGACAGTCAAATAGCAGAGACACTGATACATTTCTTTCAGGAATTTTAAATTCTTATGTTTATGATTTTTAGTAAATGAGAACATGCGCGAGGACCTTAATCTATGATGCAATTTCTTCAATACTGACACGTCAGGTAACCATGCTTTCAGAGGTTTATTAAGGGGTCGTTGGACGAATGGCAACGGCCGACAGAATGGGTGCAGAATAGATGGACTAAGGGTATAACTATGTTGGTGCTGTTTCCAATTGTACTGGCAGTTTTCATTGTTGACAATTCAGTAATTTACATCATGACCATCGATCTACAGAGTTGGTATACGATGACATACACTGAGTCACCGAGCCTGACCACTGAAGCCCGTTAGTCGCCTCTTGCGACAAGCATGGGTTGCTGAACACAAAATTCTTCTTGATACTGGCAGTAGTACTACTGAGAAAACATTTAAAAAAAACAAGCGAGTTTTGCTTGTATGTGGCATCCAAGCTGTGGTAGCAATTATCAATAAAAAATCAGCAAAACCACTTCGAGTTGCACATTGATTAGACGCCTGATACTTCTCTGTTTACAGCATACTATCTTGTTTAGAGCATCGTATATTCCTACTCATGCACATGTTATAGCTGATTCGCTTTTGATATTTCACTGGTCCAGGTTCAAGGACGCAGCACCGCGGGCAGAGACACCGGCACCCATATACCACAGGGCACGCTGACGACGGAGGTGTAACGACAAACGTTTGGGCCGCTTCGGTTGATCACCTAATGCATTTTATCGCGCATTTCCCGTAACAGGAAAATCTCCTCGCACGTCAGGGTCGTATACATCGGCCATAGTAAGATAGCAAAATCTTAATGGTATGCTTGAACTAACGTCCCATATTCGTATTCAGAAAGGCTGATCGGAATTGTGAGGCTGAAAAAGAATGCAGACACCCGGTTGTCAGTCACAACTGATTTGATGTCTATTATTTTCAGATAATTACCGGCACTTTGTGTTTCAACTTATGAAACTAAAGCGACAATCCCTTTCCATATCCATTAGAAATGTCTGCATAAAGCAGAGTCGATCGTACAATTCCGACTATATGATGAGCATGTGTTTATATATAACTATCAAATAGTAATGATACCGGGTGTTCGCGAAAAGGTGGTGGTATCCTGCCCAACCGGTTGTATCCGTAACAAACACCTGCAAAGGCAGGGCAATTATTCACCTGAAAAAAACATGGGAACATATGGTACAAGTCAAAATAGAGAATTGCATCGGACATAATTTTTGACACTGATGCGTCACATTTGGAGTGAGTGAGTAGGGTTTAACGCCGGTTTTAACAGTATTCCAGTTATATCACTGCGTGTCAGCTTAATGTGGGAGGAAAGCCCGAAGTGATGCAGGTCTCAGACGTTTACCACTTTGTGAAACCCACAAGCACAAGTATGGTGCTGACAAACCTAGAAACATAATCGGGGCGAACCGGATTCGAACCCACAATCATAGGTTTCTGGTGTGCCCAAGGGACGCAACTCTGCACAGCAATATCGCGCCGCCTTAGTCGACTGGGCCACCCGTGCCTCCGTCAAATTTAGAAATGTCCTCCACATGTCTACCATAAAACGTTTTGAAAATAATTAAATAGGCTTCCTCAGATTCAGTATAAGTATTGATGTCAGCTGTGTACATCATGCCTTCATACACTTTGGTGTTGGTGTGATAATTTTGTTGCCAGCTAACTACAGCAGGAGTAGAAATTCTTCTGCCCTCTGTACCCGGGGTGTGTGTGTGTGTGTGTTGAGAGGGGGGGGGGGGGGGGGGGGGGGGACGACAGTGCAACTACTGGGATCGGGTGGTCAGGCTCGCTGACTTGGTTGATGCATGTCATCGATCTCATCACTGGATTGTCTGGTCCACTCGATTATTTATGACGATATGTGAAGTCTAGACATCAGTGAATCTGTGAGTGAGTAAAATGTAACACCGGCAATATTTCAGCCATATCGTGACGAGATGCTATGCATTAACAATACATATCTGTAAGCTTAACACAAACCTATCATCAATGGACAGAACAAAAACTAAAATATCACGGATTCGATATAAAACTAGTTGAAAACATGTAAAACAATAAATTATCAGTAAACAACACCCTATAAAAACAGGCTACAGATCGCCAGCACCGGGGATCATGGGGACTTACAGTACTCTTGCTACCTGCATGGACCCCAGCGGGATTTACATCATCCCTTCAGTTGTAAGCGATTATTGACAAATTTCGCCTATCATTAAAACAACACATACGATTAAAAACGTGACAGAAATAAATTCACATTAAACGACATGCTATTTCATACCTTCTCTGGACTATTATTTTACACTGCTTCATCCGGCTTTGAGGGTACAGCCATTTACAATCACAGTTAACAAATATATTCTACCAGTTATATAGAAATCCTTTATTTTTGTACCAGACATATTGATCAATATTTATGCAACAATTCTTTTTCCTTAAAAATAAAATACATTAAACGAGACTGAATTTTATTAAAGAGATCCTTAATAGAGGACGATCTAAAATATTTATCCCTTGTGATTGAAAAATGAACACAGTCAAGCAGGACATGGGTGTAGCGTGAATGGCCAACACGACGTCATCGAATTATGACCTCTTGAAATCTGGACTGACAACCAAAGTACGTATAACCAAATAGTTGGTTTAATTTCATATACCTTGTTAATACCTACTTTGGTGTCCCACTTTCTTTGCATTAGATCACAGATGTAAGACCTACTCACGGGTTTAAAATCAGTGTATGGGATAAGAAGTTGTGTCAAAGATTTGTATCAAATGATTGTATTCTTGTTTATAAATTTGTGGGCTTGTGTCTGATGTCTTAAGTCTAGTTAATGTGAGGTGATGACCTAAGCTGGATGGGAGCTGTATCTAGAAGGTTATTTTTACAGCGGAAATGACAGATTTGATTCGTATTCCAAGTGGTGGAATATGAGTTGATTTAAGTAAATATATTCATAGAGAGGATTAAAAACGCATTCAAAAGCTGGATTTGACTGATTAGATATATAATTTAGTGATGTATTGTAAGGATAATTTCAATTGGAATTGTTAAAGGGAAGGCTCATCAGCCTCTACGTGCAAGACGTGCAATTCTACTTGAATAGGATATGTTCTAAAAGCTCCAAGGGAAAGCTATCGGCGGCCTTCGGTAAAGAAATACAAAGTTGAAATGAATGACAAAAGTACACAATAACAGTCAAATGTTACGAATAAAGTATTAAATGGTATAAGTAAAGGTCAAAATATAAAACAAACAGACGCCAGCAAAAGAATACGAATAAAGGTCAAAAGTACGCAATATTAATTGTCAAATTTGGTTATCCAATCAAAACAAATAGAACGAGGTCAACCTTGTACGACACACGTTGGACGGTCGGGTTTAGTATCTTACCGCCTGTATCTTCATCACGTGGGTAATAAATATATAAACGTGACGTCAGATGGTGTGTGCAGGACACATTGTGCCTTCTTTTCATATGACGTCTTTTCGTAACATTTGACTATTACGTATATTTGACCCTTATTTCAACTTTGTACTTTATATTTTTTAACCGGCATCTGTTTGTTTTATATTTTGACCTTTAGTAGTACCATTTAATACTTTTTTCGAAATATTTGACTATTATTGCGTACTTTTGTCCTTTATTTCAGCTTTGTATTTTTTGACTGAATGGCCGCCCTAACGAAGCCTAGCCTCAGGCCTTGGTGATGAATAGTATCTAGTTTTTGTAAATTACTGTTACATGCTCCACCATAGACGAAGGCGCCGTAATCAAGTTATGAACGGATCAGGCACCTGTACAAGTGCAAGAGAGTTGTTTGATCCTCTCGCCACTTAGAAATAGATACAACTTTCAACAAATCAAGTACCTTCAGACATTTAGATTGAAGTGGTAAGAAAGTTAAATGACTGTCAATGATGAGTCTAAAGAATTTGGCCTCCTTTACAACTTTGATAGGGGTGTCATTCAAAATCAATTCAGGGTCCTTATATGGCTTATAGATTTTGCAGAAATGTATGCCAATTGTTTTTTATTTAGAAAAAATAAACCCTTTTCAAAGAGACCAGTTGTGAATTTTATTGCGACAGATTTGTTACT